AGTGGCCCCCGCATGGCCAGTCATGTCATCCAGAAGGTGAAGGGGAAACCCATGTCTGGAAGGTGCTGGGCCCCAGGAGTGGGGATGGGGGTAAGACACAGTGAGAGCTCACAGATGTTGAGACACGAGCATCGGCATAGGGTGAGGGTGCAGAGAGGGGAGAGTCATGGACAGTGGCATGGGGCTAGTCCGGCCATTTGGTCCGCCGAGTGCTCGTGGAGCCTCAGTTTTCCCGTCAGTGAGGTGAGAGAAGGAGCCCTTTCCGTCCCTCCTATCTCTACCAGCTGTGGTGGCGTGTCCATTTCCCCCTGTAACACGGTGCCACAAATTGGGGAGCTGAAAACAACACAGATGTACTGTCTCATGGTTCTGGAGGTCCGAAGCCCAAGATCAAGATCTCTCAGAAGGTCCTCTGTCCACATCTCTTCCAACTTCAGACAGTCCTGGGCTTATAGATGGATCACTGCAGTCTTTGCCTCCTTCTTCACATGAACTTCACCTCTTGTGCCTCTTCCGTTCTTCTGCGGACAGTGGTCAGATTGGATTAGGACCTCCCCCCCACCCCACTGCCACTGTAAAGACCTCATGTTAACTCATCACATCTGCAAAGATTTTACTTCCGAACAAACTCACGTTCACTGGGCTATATATAGGGCTCCAGCCTATGTTTTTGGAGAAAATAGTTCAACCCATAACAGACGGTGTTGAGACCGTTTGACCTAGAAGGAAGCACATTCCTTTGTAGCATCCATAAACTCCCCACTTCTTGATTCAGCTTTGGAGCCACGTGGGTTCCCTAAGCTCTTGGTTATATCTGTTGGAAATTACCCAGTAGGGGCTCTTGTGACAAGGGGAGCAGAACCAAACACCAGTCACCTGCCAGGCTGAAGGTTCAGGGACTTCAGACTCTTGTCTGAATAGAAGATTCTCCCCGAAAGCGAGTTTGGGGTTCCTTGAGTGCCTCCACAATCACTGTCTCCTTGGACCTGTGTAAATTGCTCATCTCAGTTGTTGGACGATAAAGTCCTTTTTTCCAGCCAAGAATGAGGTGGTTGTTGTTATGTGCCGTCGAGTCGGTTCCAACTCATAGCGACCCTGTACAGGGTTTCCGAGGCTGTAAATCTTAACAGGAGCAGAAAGCCTCATCTTTCTCCCATGGAGCGGTTGGTAGTTTCGAAGTGCTGACCTAAGGTTCACAGCCCGATTCGTAACCACTACGCTACCAGAGCTCCTTAAGAATGCAGTAGGGCTTGTAATTTTGTATAATCCAGCTCTCTGGTGTACTCCTGAGGTGAAGCTGGAGATGAAATATTAAAATAATATGGGCTTTGATAGAAGAATCCTGATCAAAAGGGAGAAAATGCAGAACAGATTTTCAAATTCTCATGGAAACCAGACTTTCTGGAGCCGTGGAAACTGAATGAACCCCTGAACTACTACCCTGAGATAATCTTCGAGCCTGAAAACTATTCCGTGAATTCTTCTTGAAACAGAACACTGTGCTTTCAGATCACTGAGCTACTTGTCTTTTAAGGCCTCTTTAGACAGTAACAGGCCTGAGTGGTCCGCATAGTTAGACATTAGACTAAGGGTTGAAGGTTTGAACCACCCAGAGACACCTTAGAAGGAAGCCCTAGTAATCTGCTTCCCAAGGGCCACACAGTCTTGAAAGCCCCATGAAACCATTCTACTTTCCAGACAAAGTCAAAACCGACTCCACAACAGCTAACAACAGCAGACAGTGACAATAAAAACACTCCTGCTGTGTTTGTCCTTTCTGTCCGTTTTACTTTATGTTGGGGACGAGAGGAAAGGATATCCAGCTGATACATAAGGGTCATCAAGGTTCAGGTTGACTTTTCCGAGACAAATGGTTGCCCTAGCCTGTCTTCCTGTTGGATAGAACTCAGAACCATGTTCTTCTGGTCCTCCTGTTTTAAGCTTGTCTCTGGAATGTGCATAGAACTTGGAGATGTTTTTCTTCAGGTTTGAGACATGTCTTTTTTTTTCAACGTAATTTTGTACATTTATATTTATTGTTGTGTGTCCCATTATACTAACTTTAGCTATCTTGTTTTGCCTCTTATTTTGGTTATAATGTGATTTCTCATATACTTTATGGTTTTAAGCTGGACTGTGCATGGTTACATGTACAATTTCACTTCAGCTTTCTTAAGTCTTATCTTTCTTAAGTCTGTTTCTCCACAATCGAAATCTTCTAATAACTAACCTGGGCAAACACTAGTGTTCTCAGTTCTGTAGCTCACCGAAGAGGTATGGTACAGCAGAGGTACTTTGGACTTCCTTCCACAGGCATCTTAGACTGTTGGCTTGCTCCTGCCTGGGCCTGCTCTCTCCCCTCCCTGAAGCCACGGGGCTCATTGATGTTGAGAAAGGTGAATAGTTAGTTCTCCTTTCTTGTGTCTCTCATATCAGCTTAAATTCTATTCTTTGTACCGACCATGGACTTAGCAGCACAATGTCTTGGCATGCAAAAAGAAAGGGTTTAAAGGACATTTACTCATTCTGAACAGGTTTAGCAATCTCTTCAAGCCTAGCCCATGGGCCTTATCTGTTTTTTGTTGTTGTTGTTTTTTAAATAGCTAATATGCTGAGGAAGGATTAAGTAAGAAATTGCGTGAGACTGTGATTAGCATATATTATTTAGCTGTTTCATCAATACTATTCCCTCTTCCCCCTGCCACTATTCTTAGTTACTTAGTGCCTGGTAATACTATGAGACGTGCCTTCCAGAGTTTCTCCTGGGTGAGTCATTCTTTTTGGCATTACTGTTTTTATTAAGTGTTAACGAGTCAATTCCAACTCATAGCTACCCTGAGGAGCAGCTGGTGGGTTTGCACCACCGACCTTATGGTTAGCAGTCCAGTGCTTAGCCTACAACACCACACAGGTGTTGCTTTTAAAACTGAGTCAGATGACCTTCTAGCTGTTCAAACCAGGACAAACATTATAGTCTTAAGCTTTTGTTTTCTCATCTTTAAAATGGAAATAATATGAATCAATTTATAATATATATATATTTTTTTTTTTTTACTGGTTAAGTTAAATTACTATTTCGTTTTAAGAAGGCTTCAAGGGATATTTTTGGTGTAAGGTTCAAAGATTATTTCGGATTAATAGTTTCAGGGGTTCATCCACGCTTCATGGCTCCAGAAAGTCTCAAGTCTGTGACTATTTTAAATTCTACTCTGCATTTCTGGGGTT